AATTAATGACTAAAATTTAAATAATTAAAATTAAATTATATATTTAAGTGTAATAAATAATGCCGATTGAATTTTAGTAGTTCACTTGGTTGATTACATGAATTTTTACTTTATTGAAGAAATTTCAATTTTTTTTAAAATCTCACTATCCTTAGTTTTCTTAAATTCATCCAAAAATAAATAAATTTAATTTTTTTCGACATATTACTTTAATTTCCCCTCAAATAAATAGTAATAGGTTTATAAAATATATAACAAATACCGTGGGTGAGTTTCAAAGTTTCTTTATTAAAACAAAAAATAAAAAATAAAATTTACACTAGCAATTAACAAGCAAAAAAAAGAAAATGCAGGCAAGAAAGAAAAAATAAAAGAAAAGATTGAAATTGGAAAAGAAAAAGTAAGGAAACAAGTACATCATGGGTCCCACATTATACATGTGGCAGCCAAAAGAGGCCTCACACAACTGACAGTATGTGTGCCTCGCCCATCATAAAATTTTTCGTCACAGGACAAGTAAAAGCAATGTAGATCTTCTTCATAACTCAGACATTGCCATATGACAAAAAGATTATTTCCCAGTACTCCCAACACCAAAACACCATCTTCTTCACCATAGCAAGGCTGCTCCACCTTTTTCCATTTCTCGTCAGTCAAATCAAGAGAAATGATGTTCCAACCCATTTGCAACAAAGGACCATTAATATTAGCCCAATGAAGCTTCCCATTCACAAATTTACCACAATTAAAGGATTGCACCAAATCCTGAGGGAAATGGATACTTTTCCAAGAATCACCCTTTAGACTATATATGTTGACTTCGACCTTAACGGAAGACAAACTCCCATGATAGTCAACACATGCCACTACCTTATAGTCATCATGAAATTCATCATATCCAAAACCATAACTGAAACGAGTTGCATCCCTTATATTAGTTATAAAATTAGGCAATTTTCTATGCTTTCTAATTGATGGATTCAATAGACACAAATGTTTTCCCCTATTATTAGAACGACAAATCAGTCCATTGACTGAACCCCTATTAAGAGGATATCAGTATTGAGATGTGGTGGAAGGATGGAGAATGGCAACAATGACTTTGTGGGTTTTCTCCATTGACGGGACGCTTCCGATTCCATTTGAGTTTCTATAGACTACGTACTGTCGAAGTCTTCTTACATATACATCTTCATATGAAAATTTCAAACAAACCTATTTTGGATATTTCCCCCTTTTTTTTGCTATCGGTTGAATAAATCTGATATTAAATTTTCTTTCAAATGTGTACTACATTATTTTGGGGTAGTATTAGGCTAATGTCAGAATTATAATATTTCCATTTTTAAACATATATAGTAAAGATTTTTCTAATTAATTAATTAGTTTTTGATATTGTATAACCAAATCTATTGATAAGATCTTTATTTTTGTGCTTGATTTTAGGTCGTTAAAGAACTTGCATCTATATGGAACTTTTTAATTGAATCATAATTTTATTTAAACTAGGTAGTAGACATTACGAAAAAGTGGATCATAAGGTACCACCTTCAGTAAGATTATTATTCATATTTTTCTGTAAAGTATGGTTATGATGGTGTCACAACCTAAAAATGGACGTGATGACACTCGTTTATTCCGACCATGACAAGTTAGCCTCAACCCAACAACACGAAAGAAATGCAGAAAGTAAAACAAGAATAACATAAGAACGAAAAACTTAAGTCATTCTAATATAACCCCCAAAACATGATTGTCACGTGTACAAGCCACTAATATAAAAAAAAAAGAATTGAAAGATAAGTACAAGTTGTTATGCCGTAATTTTCCTATCTTTAGAAAAATCACTTTTTGAAATGTTCTAAGTATAAAACAATTTGAGAAAAATACTTAGAAAAAAGTCGCCACTTAATTTTTTAAAGAAATTAAGAAAACTTATAATTTTCAAAGATTTAAACAGAAAAAATCATTTGAAAATACCAAAGAGGGTTCGGAGTTCAATTTACACTTCGAGAAGGGTTTAAGCATTCGAAGTCTCTGCTAACATGCGGTTGACCTGCGACTTGACTAAAATATATTTTGACTATTTTTTAGAAAAAATGATTTAACATAAGAATAATAATTTACAATATTTGGTTAACTTTGAGAAAAATAGTCAAGTAAATGATACATTTTATTTCATTTTTATTCTTTTAGAGAAGAGGATCCAAAATGAACATTTGAATTAAAGTGTGAGTGGATAGAATTTTAACAAAGCTAGATTAATTAGAAATTACTTGATATACTTTTAAAATAATAATTTAAACCAAATTGGTTAATTTAAGCATGGACCATTTTAAGTTAATTAAAGAATAAATAAAAAGTTTTGACTAAAGATTTTCAAATAAAGTACATGAGTTGATAAAAAGGTTTTACTAACATAAAGAATATAGTTCATCTTTTGGGAAATTAATAGTTTTAAAGTTAGAGTTAATAAACAACAAACAATAAATAATCGCAATTAAATAATTTAAGAGAAATGGAGAGATTGAATTTGGGCCTTTCTTGGGCCAAATTCGTTGCTATTTTTTGGGTTTAACCCAATTCCCGTTTTTGTATACACCTGATGTATATCAGTGTATATCAGCGTGTATATCGGCCCCTTTCATGTATTTCTTGCTTCCGAACACCTGTGTTTTGCCTCCGCCCTATTTTTTTTGCGTTTTTGACCTGTATATAAGTGTATACAGCTGTATACATCTTGTATACAACCCCTTTTTCTACTTTTCAAGACCTGTTTCAGCTTCTTTTATAACATATATTTCCTCTCCGAATTCCATATGCTCCCAATGATGAGGTTGACTTGATAAGAGGGAGTTTTAGGCCTCCAAGACCCATTTGAAATGCGAGGTGTAGACATGAGTACATAGGACTCACTCGGACATACACAAAGTGAACAACTAAATACAAATTAGCAAATAGAATAAGAAGATTAATTGATGTACTAGTTTTAAACTAAAGGAAACTTTGGCATTTTCATTGCAAATTCAATTGCAGTTAACCTTACACACCAAGAATTGGAAGAGACCACATGTAAGCACTATTAATTTCCAACCACATTGCATTATCATCTAGGGAAATCAATCACAGCGCATGGTATTATTCCAAAACACATTGAACACTTCTAAATCTTTGAGCTTATTTGAAGATTATATACTAGCTATGTGATGAACAAATGGAAGAAGCTGAAACTTAGCAAATCAAGCATGATTGATTCGGCTACATCCAAACATCAAACTGTGCTAACTAAGAAAGACATAACACAACCAAATATGCTTAAGTTAACAAGAAAATGTAAAACAAATGCACTTAGTTTAAAATCAACCCATTTAACAAGATAACATTTTCCAAATGCTAAAAAATAACCAAACTTCCTGGGATCAACCACACTTGTTCAAAAATGGATAAAAATAATCCACTAAGCAAATTAAATTATGGAATCTGAAACTATTAAGAGTTGCTCCTAAAAATAAAGAACATGGGAAACTAGGCTAGGAAATCAAGCCATTAAAATCAATAACATTGTCAAAGATCATATGATATGTATTGAAGGGGAAAAGATAACTAACAATTTATTCTCAAACTAAGTCATATAAGGAAAATAGTAAACAATTTCTTCAGCAGACAATAAATAAGATTCAAACAAGAATGTAGACAATTCAAAAATATTGAATAACAAATGATCAACTACAAGGCTCTGAACTAGAAAGAAAGGAACAAAACAAAATTCTTGAGAAAATGGACCCTTAGCCTAAGACACATAATTAATTGAACAAACACATATCAAGGTAGTGACTCAATAGCATGAACGGAATTCAATCTAAGAGAAAATAGAATTAAGAACTACAGAGCAGGCTCCAAAAAAGAACAACTTAGCACATAAATAGGAAAAAAAAAACTAAAATAGGCTAGGAGATCACCTTTTCCGGGGCAGCGAGGCCGGGACTCGAACTTGACCACGAAGAACTTCCACCACTGTGAGCCGATTTCGATGAGCTCCCAAAAGTAAAACAACTTTTTCTTTTGATGATATTCGCTCTGTTTTAGGGCGGTCAATTAGTGTCTGAAAAAATCCTCCCTTTTTTATCCAAAAAATCCCCTGCTAAACAGTGATTGAAAGAGAGAATATATAGAAGAAGAAAAAATCATTTTGGGGGAAAATCCATTAAGAATTCAAACAAAAAATTGAATTTCTTCTGGTATTTTCGAAGCCACAGTAAAGGGGATGGGAAAAAGCTGAATTCCCGTGAAAAGGGGGGAAAGGGGACGACGAAGTGATCGATTAGGTTGCTAGGGTTATGGGTTTGCAGATGGGTGACGTATGGGTTTGGTACTGCTCGCGATTTTGGCTGCTGTCCGCGATTTCTGGGTTTGCAGCTCTTGACTTTTGGTTCTCGCGTAGGAGAGAAGAAGAGGTGAAGTGGGGTCGGGTCGGTCTGATATGTGTATGTATATGCTGGTGTATGTATTGTAATTGGTTTTCTTTGATGAGTTGGGTCTTGGTACTACTGTAAAGAGAATTGGTGGGCAGGGATTTGAATTGGAGTTAAGAAATGGGCCGGCTTGAACAAAAAAAATGGGCTAGAGGAAAGGAAATAAGAATTGCATTGTATTGGGTCTGCTAATAGGAAGAATTGGGTCGTGGAACAAGCCCATTTTTTGGTCTTTTAAAGGGTTAAGGATAGGATAAGCAATTGGCTAAAATTTGCAACAGGATAAATTTTCATAAATTAATTAACGAGCTTCTTAATCTTAACGACATAAAATAATTAATTCAATTGTAAAATAATTAATTTAATTATAAACTAATAATTAGCTAAATTAATTAACCAAATATTTAGGTAAAACTAAAGTCTTTTGAGACAATTTCCAAATACTAATATAATAAATATATACAAAATTATATAGAATATATATATTTATTTTTAAAAAAATTTAAAATTATAAAAATGACAAAATTACTTAAAATGACTTGAAAAGTATTTTAAAATTTATGAAGTCAATTATTTCAAATCGTTTGGAATTTAAGAAGCTCGATTATTAATTTATATTGTGGAGGTCCAAAATTGGGTGTCAACACAAGTCTCAATGTCTTTGTATCTAGAATTGAACAAAAGATAAGATAAAGAACAAGAGGCCCCGCACGGATGACAAACAGCTACCTCTCAAAGTCCTTCGAAAGCCTCGAAAATAGAAGAAGAGCAATCACAAGGATTCGGGCTCGAAACCTACAAAAATGTAGAAGCAAGGAGTGAGTACCAAACAAGATGGTACTCAACAAGCAACCTACTAAACAAAGTAAAACTAGGCTTGAATATGAGTACTCCTTTCATCCCAACCGAACCTCCTCAACTACAAACTGTATAGAAATCAGACCAACCTAATAGTTTTACAATACACAGTTCACAAGGCATGACAATCACAATTCAACAACCAACAAGTTTCAAGTATGTCAATCACAAGTATCAAGTAGATCATTCACAAGTATCAAGTAGATCAATCACAAGTGTCAAGTAGAACAATCACAAGTGTCAAGTAGGTCAATCACAAGTGTCAAGTCGATCAATCACAAGTGTCAAATGCATCAAATCACAATAATCATACTCTTGTCAGAACCATTTCCCATCGACACAATATCACTAGCCGGAACCATTCCCATCGACTTTATATAGTAGCACTTGCTGGATCCATTTCCCTTCGTCTTTATATCATATCACTTGCCAAAACCATTTCCCTTTGGCACAATATCACTATCTGGAACCATTTCCCTTCGTGTTTATTTCATATCACTTACCAGAACCATTTTCCTTTGGCCTAATCATCTCAGGTCTCATCAAAGTGCAAAGAAATCAATGCAAATAAGTAATTTCACACCATAAGGAAAATACAACAACTCAAGCAATTTAAGTCCAAAATAATGCCATCAAAACATTTCATCAGTCGATAACTTAGGGTCCCCAACAAGGCAATTCACAAAGCATTATGATCAACATGTTGCCTTTTTCATTAATCCCATTTTTATTTATTAAGATTAATCAAGTGGAATAAATGGATTCATCACCCTATTTTCATCACTCCCCAACACACACAATGAAGAAAAATACAAGATTCTACAAGTTTTATGATCACTTGCCTCAATTCAATCAAAAGTCAATCCAAGACTTGAGTCTTTCCTTTCTCAACAATGTCCAAAGCCACACAACCTAATTCAATCAAGTAATCACAATAAGCTTCGAGAAATAACAACACCCAAATCATACATTTTGAAAAAAGGGCCATATCAACTCAAGAACCCAATTTCAAAAATGAAGTTTGAATCCAAAAATCTTCATTTGAAAACATTACCCAAGGCATTTGGAACTCATTGGTGAAAACCATTTCAAAAAAGGAATTAAAATCAGTTCACAATCACCATTTACTTTAGACTTCAAGCTCTTGAAAATCATTGCCATTTGCCAATCAAAATCTCAAGTTTTGATGTTAAAATCTATAAATGATAAAATGGAATTGAAGTTTTAGGGTCACAAAGATTTATCCAAATGATTCAGCACAAGAAATCTCTTTAGAATTGCCTTCAAGTATATTTCAAAACTCAAAATAGGGAAAAATGGGGTAAAACCCCAAAATGGCAAGCATAAACTCTCCTTGATGTCGTAAAAGCTACCTCTGGTTTGGAAAAGTGAACCCCAGAAAACTCGGCCTTCGCTTTTGCGAAGATCGCGATTGCAAACATGTCCTTCGCTTACACGAGAGTCTGGGGTCTCATCTCCCTTGCCTTTGCGATCAGGATTTCCCTAACATGATTTTGAGATATTTGCTGAGTTTGGATCTTGACTTGGATAGCCCTTTCTTTGTTCTCATATGATTTTTTGAGAATGACCTTTTACAATTAGAGCTTTTGCTTCGCCGCCTTTTTGTTTTTCTCTCTTTCTTTGTTCATAACTATATAAGGCAGAACAAACTTTTTTGAGAGATACTTCATCATTTCCATGCAATAGAGTAGTTTCAAGATGCTCAGACTCATCGGGAAGTGAACTTAACAACATTAAGGCCATATCTCCATCCGTAAAAGTCACGTCCATATTCCGCAAATCTATCGCCAACTTATTAAAGCTGGTGATGTGATCATTCATTGTGCTCCCAGGAATATAAGTGAAGCGTAACAATCTTCTTTTCATGTAAAGTTTATTTTGACTATTTTTCTTCAAGAATTTCTCCTCCAATGAATTCATAATTTATTTGCAGATGTTTCCTTTGTGTATGGATACTTTTGTTCTCTTGCAAGGTAAGATCGAATGGTACCGCAAGAAACACGGTTGATAATCTTCTAATCTTCTTCTCCTACACTGTCTGATTTCTTTTCTTCTATGGAATTATCTAGCCCTTGTTGAAAAAGGACATCAAGGACCTCGCCTTGCCACATTCCGAAATGTCCTGACCCGTCAAAAATTTCAACTGCAAATTTCACATTTGACACAATTCTTGTCATAAGCGAAGACGCCAATGATGACGTATTATTGACATTCGATGTGGACTCATTATTTTTCTTGTCTCCCATTTTTTCTACAAATACTATTTACTAGCTAAAATTGCAAAGACCAAAGTAAATCTTTTATGATGTGGAAGTTCAAACTGTGCTGCAACCACAAAGCATACCCAGATAATACCTTTGCTCTGATACCAATTGTTGCGGAAGCCGAATATATAGAGCATGATGAAATCACAACTACTATATCTAAAGGTAGCTAATAAATAGTAAATGAGACAACAATAAAAGGAACACCAGGAATTTGCGAGGTTCGACAAAAAATTGGTTTCTTTTGCCTACTCCTCGGACACAGCCAATCAATATTTATTTCACTCCAAAAGAGTACAAGTGAAATAGTACAAGAGAGAAAAAAGAACAAATGACTTAGAAGATGAGAAGGCAAGTGAGAGGTGTGTTACAAATGAATTAGGAGCTATCTATTTATAGGAGTGAATTCTTCCTATTGATGTCATCCATGACATCACATTGTGTCAAAATGTCAAGGTTTAACTTGTGAAACCATTTTATGGTTTACCTAAATTTCACCTACAAATTACTATCTTGACTTTTGTACCAATATTAAAGAATTATCTCTCTACCAAATCTTCACATTAATTCATCTTTGAATCTTGTCAAATTTAACACTTACTACCTTCCTTCATAAACTGGCCTAGTAATTAGCCTCTATTAATACAAAATGAACAAGTAATTAAAGAAAATTATGTTGTTCATCTTTTTCCCTTTTAATTGCTCATGTTTCTAAAATTGCAACATTTTTATAAGGCTAACAATGCTTTTGGTGAAGCAGTTAACACACACTAGAAAGATTATTGATTGAAGGATAAATGATAAGATGTTATCAATCATTTTTCTTTACATTATTAATGTTCATTACAATGTAATCTTATATGTAAAGATAATATATTGTTTTAGTTTTAACGACCGATAGTTTTTAAGTATTATTTTATAAATTTTGTGATATTAAGTTCTCGCGCGGGGCACGAGTAATTTTACTAGTTGTTGTAGAATATTCTATTCCTAATTAATATAAGAATATACTATTTTTGAATTTAGTTTCATTTGATATACTTCAATCAAATTTAAAGAATAAGAGTAAGAACTAAGAAACACTGATCACCTACGAGTAAGAACACTCTATTTTATTTTTATTTATTATTAAATATTTTTTATTTGATCCACGGGTCGGTCCTATCCATATTTCTCGAGTCTCACAAATAAGCAAACTTATTTAGACTGGGCTAAAAAGTCATTTTCTCTAATGAGCTCCAAAATCTTAGTCCAACCCTATCAAATTACGGATTAGGCCAGACCGAGCCAACTGGTCTTGGCCCATATTAACGACTCTACAATTATGATATATTGTATGAAGCTAAAGAGAAAACCTTTTTAGAGGAAAACAAATCAATTATTTTGCAAAAAAAAACAAAGGACAAATAAATTTAAAGAAAACAATATAATCAGATTCGTTTAATTAAAAGTTGCTCCAAATAAAAAGGGATAACATAAATAACTGGATCCCTAATTTAAGGGATATTCAGTAACGAATAAGAAATTATATAATACTTATTTAAATTCTTAGTTTTAAGGATACTACTGTGAAAAAAAAAGGAAAAAAGAAATATATTTTCCCCTATTTTTGCTCATCTAAAAATACATTGAACCATTTATTTGCGTAACCAAAAGAATTTGCAAATAGAGACGACATGCCCTAATTTTTTAGTGCCGTATAACTTTTGCCGGAATTAGGGTTGTGATACTTCCACCATACAATCATGGCTGACTTATTGCCGGAATGTCTCATTCAAAAAATACTCTGTTTGATTAGTTTTAAAGAAGCAACCAAGATGAGCATTCTCTCGAAAACATGGCTACAAGCGTGGTCGACTCTTCCCAACTTGGAATTCTTTGTTAATTGTTGGCGAGGCTGGGAAGCGCATATAAATATAGTGGACACAACCATGGAGAGATATGGGAAGGGGAAAATTCCTATACAAAAGTTTGAATTATCAGAGATTTTTGCTGATTCTCCCCAACTCTTCCCTCTGATTGATAAGTGGCTTCTCATTGCACTTCAGAATGGTGTAAAACAACTTGTACTTCACTTTACAGCATACCCGGCACCTATTTTAACAATCTTGACAGCAAAATCTTTAAGAGAATTGGTTCTGCACAATTGTACTCTTATGCCTGTTTCATTATCTAGTGGGGTTGTGAGTTGCAATTCTCTGAGAAAGATTTCTCTATCTTATGTAACATTAGATGAAAACATGCTTCAGACTCTACTTAATAGATGTCCCTTTATTGTCTCTTTCATACTTGAGTATTGTTCGGGTTTGACTACGAAACTTATAAAGATCAAGTCGGATTCCCTGAAGGTCTTGAAGATTCATCAATATTGCGGGATATGGGAGATTAATGCTCCAGATTTAGTATCACTTGACTATGCAGGGAATGAAATTCCTGAACTCAACATTGTAAGAGAGTCAAGTCAATTGGAGAACTCAAAAATAATTCTTCATTGCATCTCCAGATTAAATACGACATGGTTTTGTAAGTTGAGGAAGTTTCTATCAAATTCATCCTCTTGGTCTGAAGTTAACCTTTGTTTATTCAAATGCGATGAGATCAACATGACAGATTTGCAAATGGATCTGAAGGAGAGAAAGAGAAGACAAATATGATAATAGAGAGATAGTTTGGAGAAAAGGAGCAGATCATCTCTTCAGCAAAAGCTTACACATATATATATATACATAAGGTGGTGACAGATCCCTTAAATCCTGGAAACTTGACTCCCTATTTTGTGCTTAAATCAAGCTCCACCACATGTTACAATATCTTCTACATTCTAGAACTTTGTATTAAAATTAATTCAAAAGTTATAACCAAAAATATCAAGACAAAAGTATTAACATGACAGCACTTAGCAACACATACAAAAACAACAACCTTCATCAGGATCACATAGGTTCTAGTGGAGGGGTGGACGTTTTAAATCTCAATATGCTACTGATGGATGAAATTATAGAGTGCCCAACTTTTGTGGATGCTTTGCTATGGAGTTGTCATCCTGGGAGACTCAACTTAATCTCAATTGATATTGAAACAGCTACACATTTCATTGATCGTTTAATGTATATGAAAAATTTGAGTCATTCTACTTCTCATGGAAGCACACCTTGGAATAGTCAATTAAAAGATGTAAAAGCTTTTGATGGAAAAAACCAGTTGCTGCAACTCGGAAGTGAGGAGCCTGCAAAAAGGATTACGGAAACTTATTTTATATTAGATTGGTGATGCAGTTAATTCATTTGTCAGGATGTATTTTGTTTGTTTTCCACATCTAGCTTTAAATTCTTTCACTTCCGTACACATGACATGAGTCTTTCTTTTTCTTTAAAATTTTAAAAGTTGCATAAGCATGAAATTGACAACCTAATAAGTTGTTATTTTTGCGAATAGAGTGGTGAAGAATGTTGTAAATTTGTCAGAATACAATTCAACGTTGTTACAGTAGTACAGAGCTCGAGCAAGGTATATTTATCTGTTTTCCTTCTTCTGAGATGCTCATAGGGACTTTGAGGGAGTTTTCATTTCTCTATTATATATAACAGCACAACTTATTAGAGTATATATACCAGTTTTTGTATCAGAAAGAGGTACTTTGTACTTACCTTTCAATATCATAGGGTGTCTCAGAAAAAGCAATCCTCTTCCCTACACGTGTATTAACTTTATACTTGCCACTGCTGGTTGACAATGTCAGATCATAGCAATGTATTTTAGCTTTGACACATTGTAATTTCGAACTGCTTCAACATTGTTCTGATTTGTTCTTCTTGAGCAGTGCTGCATTTCACTATTTGTGTAGATTGCAGTATGAGTGTCAAACTGATACATGTGTGACTGCGCGTTAGGAGAAGCTTATTTCAACCGAGGACTACAACTGTCCTTTAATTAAGAAATTCAGTTCTAAATACAACCGAAGAGTTTTCTTTTTGCTCAGCATAAGAAAGCTGATTCTTTTTCTGGTGAAGTAATTAGATTTCTTTATTTCTTTTTCTATTTGAACTGCTCTCATTGGTTCGAGAAAATATTTGTCCATCCTAAAAAAGTAGACAGGATAAGTTTCATAGGGATGAGTCTTTAGCAGCTAAACTTATGCCTTATGGGATTAGTACTTCAAATCTATGATGTCAAGTAGTTTTTTCACAATCATCCATCTTTTCACATCTGAAACAAAAAATTGATACTGAAGGCGACTCAAAAATATTGCTACCATTACATTGAATGGAAAAATACAACTACAATCCGCTTCCCTACACGTGTATTAACTTCATACTTGCCGCTGCTGGAGTACTATACGTAGGCAAAAGGGTAATGCTAATTAATACTAGGTTTCTTAAAGTTCGGCATTCTGATATTCCTTTCAAAATATCATTCTTAATAGATCCACTACAGTCTACAGATGATAAAGTTGCAGGACTTGGTATCCCCACATGTTATAGTTGTAATTATAGTCCTAATAATGAGTCTTGCCTAGAGTGTGTAGACATGTGGTGGAGACTCAATGGGGAGAATTATTATGGCTTTCACATTAAAACCAGAGAGGGATCAAGCAACTGGGCTTTTACACTGAAGTTTGTATAGACACACTCTTTGCTAGTGCTCCTTAGCACCAAATATAAGTTTGGTATGCAAAAACTTCAAATCGTGTACTATTCCCTCATTAATGAAATGCCAGTTTGTTTGAAAAGAAAATGTCATGTGAAAAGTAAAAATTAAACAGTTAACGAAAAGAAGGAAATAAGCTTTCTTTTTAAACGAACAAAAAAGAAAATGAGACGAACAAATTAAAAAGGTGAAGAGTAATAAAACAGAGAGTGTCCACAAAACTGTTTGCATACACTGTAATATAAGGACATCCATTTAAACTTGTCTGACACATATTTAATCAAAGTTTGTACATCACAATGAAAAGTATAAACTAGAAAACCCATGCTTCTTCATTGCGTTCAATGCAGTCTACAGGTGTTGAATTAGTTGTTCCTAACATAGCTTTCATTCTCTCGAATGAAGTCGTACTGAATCAAATTGTTCACCAAGACTGTGAGATACACATGTACGATCTGTGTTAGTTGTTTTACTCTTAACAATCACATGGACTGTCCATGGATAACAATCAATCCAACACATTATCGAGAATTAGAGCTACATCCTTGAGACCCTGACATATTAGCTCGCTAATGTGCAAGATGACTATCTGTTTGAGCAAGAGAGGGTCATGGTTTCTATATAAAGCGAAATTAAAACTTAGTAAGAATTGAGTGGGTTGAAATATGATTCGTTTTTTAGTTCATTTCAGCCCAATCCATTTTGGCCTAAGTAGCTCTTGGGCGAGTCATTGAGTCGGCTCATTTGGACCCGACTAGTTTCATCATCCAAACCATCCATTTGAGACCCCTATTCACATGTGATGTGATACTGGGAAGTGATTGGTTGCTTCTTCATCAATTTTATATTGTAAAATTGTTCATGTAATTAACTTGGCCGTACTGCTTTTCCTAGCTTAACGTTTTCTTGTATATAGGGATGTGTTATGTTCACACGAATAGTTTTTAAAGATGCAGTTTAGATTATGAGTATAACATGGAGAAGTACATATGTATGAAGGCAGACACATAAATTTTCCTTGAATATAACATTGTATTTTAATTTTAAGTAATACTCGTACAATTACTCCAATGATGAATCAAGTTTATGAAGATTATAAGTGGCTGAGTGCACCACAACCTTTAAAGTGAAACATGATATGGAAAAAAAGGAAGTATGGGAATTATGAATAGGAGTTAAAGTAAGATACTATCCAGTCTTAATGTTGATTTTCCTTTATCTTTCATTATGTTACATTTTTGTTCATCATGGCTTCTTCAACTAACTTGGAACTTTTTTCAGAATTCGTAGGTGCTATGGTTATGCATCACCAAGTAAGAGATGAATAGCCATTTTATGGGAAACTCTTATTTCATTTTGGTATCAACCAGCAGCAGGCAGTATGAAGTTAATGCACATGTAGGGAGGGGGATTGTTTTTCTATATATGGTATTGAAAGGAAAGTACAGAGTCCCTCTTTCTGATTTAAAAACTGGTATATAAGTTGTGCTGTTAGTAGGATAATTGAGAAATGAAAAATCCCTCAAACTCAGAAGATGGAAAACAGTGAAACATATTTTCGGAACTGCAAGAATTTAAAGCTAGATGTGGAAAACAAATGAAGTAATAAACTTTAGAATTCAATTCGAAACAGAGACAACTTAACTCCATCACCAATCTAATATAAAATAAGGTTTCTCCCCCTCCGTAATCCTTTTTGCAAGCTCCTCACTTCCTAGTTGCAGCAACTGATTTTTTCCATCAAAAGCTTTTATTTCTTTTAATTGATTATTCCAACCATGACAATATGTAGAATGACTCGAATTCTTCATATACATTAACCGATCAATTAAACGTGTAACTGTTTCAATATCAATTGAGATTAAGTTGAGTCTCTCAGGATGACAACTCCATAGCAAAGCATCCACAAAAGTTGGGCACTCTATAATTTCATCCATCAGTAGCATATTGAGATTTAAAACGTCCACCCCTCCACTAGAACCTATGTGGTCCATTTGCAAATCTGTCATGTTGATCTCATCTCATTTTAATATACAAAGGCTAACTTCAGACCAAGAGGACGGATTTGATAGAAACTTCCTCAACTTACAAAACCATGCCGTATTTAAACTGAGGAGACAATGAAGAATGATTTTTGATTCTCTTGCAATGTTAAGTTCAGGAATTTCATACCCTTTATAGTCAAGGGATACCAAATTTGGAGCATCAATGTTACATATATTGCAATATTGTATAATCTTCAAGACCTTCAGTGAATCCGCTTTGATCTTAAGAACATTCAGTCCCGAACAATTCTCAACGATGAAAGAGACAATCAAGGGACAGCTATTAAGTAGAGTCTGAAGCATGTTTTCGTCTAATGTTACATTAGATAGAGAAAGCTTTCTCAAAGAATTGGAATTCACAACCCCACAAGATAATGAAACAGGCATAAGAGTACAATCGTGCAGAACCAATTCTCTTAAAGATTTGGCTGCCAAGATTGTTAAAATAGGCGCCGGGTATGATTTAAAGTGGAGTACAAGTTCTTTTACACTATTCTGAAGTGCAATCAGAAGCCACTTATCAACCATAGGGAAAAGTTGGAGAGAATCAACAAAAATCTCTGATAATTCAAACTTTTCTATAGGAATTTTCCCCTTCCCATATCTCTCCATGATTGTGTCCACTATCTTTGTACGGCTTTCCCAGCCTTCCCAACAAAATAAAAAGAATTTCAAGTTGGGAAGAGTCGACCATGCTTGCAGCCATGTTTTGGAGAGAATACTCATCTTGGATGCTTGATTATAACTAGGAAGAAAACTGAGTATTTTTTGAACGAGACATTCCGGCAATATGTCAGCCATGGTTGTATGGTGAAGGATCACAACCCTAATATAATTTATAGGAATCCTATTTTTATATGTATCGATACTTACTGGTTGTCGCTAAATTTAAGTGTATTTCTTAATCTCCCCTAAATAAATGGTTAAATGTATACTTAAGATGAGTAAAAATAGGAGGAAAATATATTTTTTTTTCCTTATTTCTCCGTCCTATCCTTTAAACTAGGAATTTCAATATTAGTTCCTTATTTCGTTACTGAATATCCTTATTTCACAGTCTCTTTTTATAAGTACTAGTTCTGGGCACGTGCGTTGTACGTCTGTTCCATGCTAAATTGTGTGGAGTTGTTATAACGATATATATATATATATATATATATACTTGAACATGTATGTTGCCCATGTATCTCATGCTTAATTAGTACAAGAACTTTGAAAATATTATAATTAGTGTGTGATAAGTTGCACAAAAATTGAAGAGAAATATACAAGCTCAAACGAAATAACTTCAATTATACAATTCCTATAATATATCAAGTATACAATTTGATAAAAGTTTCTTTTGTTTAATATGTCATAACTCATAATTTAAATGTCAAATGTGATTTCAAAATATTTCTTGTCTTAAGTTTTTCATCTTCTTTTTAAGAAATTGTAGTCTCCACCTTTTCACATTTGCATACGTATTAAGAGTTGTTGTCGAATGAGAGTAGTGTTTTGCAAAAAAAATAAAATTGAGTGTTTCTTAATGGTTTAGAAAACCCTAAACACAATATTACAAATATTTCTCTTGGTTATGTTTTTTACAGAAAAGGGTCATATTTGCCCTCTACCTCATAAATAGGTTATATTTATCCTCGTCATAACTTTTTTGATATATTTATGATATGCTAATTACTTGAGTGGATCCCTTTTAAAAAATAATTACTTATTTTAAATATACTCTTTAATTATTACCATTTATAGCAATATATAACAATACTATATATTTTATTAGATTTGTCTCTCTCCCTTGCCTCTTTCTCCCTTTTCTCTCTCGCTCTTTCTCCCTTTTTTTTCTTTATGTTGTTCTTTCTCGTTTGTTTTTCTTTTTGCTGCCTTTTTTTTGTTTCTCTTTCTCTTACTTTTTTTCCCTTTCTCTCTCTTCTAAACTTTATCAAACACTCTTTAAATTGAGATATAAACTCCAAAAGATATTTTCAATTATTTGTAGGAACAACCTATCCAAACTAATCGCCAACGAAATAGAAGACAAGTAATCTAATCATAACAAATGAAGAAACATAATAAACTGCCGAATGAATTAAAGTTGAATTAAAAATGTATTACACACATATTAAAGTTGAATTAGAAGCGAATTAAACATGAATGCAAAATGTAGCAAACTAAAGAGCATTATGTGATTTGTAAACTAAATAAAACTTGTATCAATAATGAAATAATCAAGTAATTCAATCGTAACAAATCAATAAATTACAAAATGAATTAAAATTGTATTTAAAAGTGTATTACACAAATATTAAACAAGTAAATAAATTAAATTTTCTTTAAAATTGTATTACACGATATTAAAGTTGAATTAGAGGAGAAAATTAAGAATGAATGAAAAACATAACTAACGAAAGACAAGACACCGATCTATAAACTGAATTAAATTTGTAGTATTCATGAATAAAACATGTATTATATGTGTCTTATAAATTATTTTGGATTTGTATCACTAAGAACGTAAGTGATGTTTGCAATATGTATTAAAGATGTATTGTGCATATATTATAAGTGTGTTACCTAAATTGTTTTAGTTGATATCATTAAAAAGGGAGTGAAATTTGCAATATGTATTATAAATGTAGGATGTATTGTTCATGATTTTTATACAATTTTAATACAATTATGAAACATATCTAATACAACTTTAATACAAACCAATAAACTGCAAAATGAATTAACTTGTATTAAAAGTGTATTACACAAATATTAAAATTGAATTAGAAGAGAGAATTAAGCACGAATAAAAAATGTAACTAATGAAAGAGCAGCCAATGATCTACAAAGTGAATTAAACTTATATAAAAAATGAATTAAACAAGTAATCTAATAGTAACAAATAATAAACTACAAAATGAATTAAATTTGCATTAAAAGTGTATACACAATATTAAAGTTGAATTAGAAGAGAAAATTAAGAATAAATGAAAAACGTAACTAACGAAAGACAAGACAATAATCTATAGACTGAATTAAACTTGTATTATTCATGAATAAAACATGTATTATATGTGTTATAAATTATTTTGGTTTGTATCACTAAGAACATGAGTGATGTTTGCAATATATTAAAAATGTAGTGTGCATGTATTATAAATGTATTATTAAGTGTGTTACCTAAATCATTTGGTTGGTATCACTAAGAAGAGAGTAAAGTTTGCAATATGTATTATAAATGTACTGTTCATGATTTTAATACAATTATAAAACATATCTAATTCAACTTTAATACAATTGCGATATAGTTCCATAAACTTTACCTTTTTCGAGTTTCAATCTTATATTTCTCCTAAAATCAATTATAAACTTAACTGAACCCTCTTAAAATTGAGATATAAACTTTAAATTGCATTTTCAATTATTTGTAGGATCAACCTATCCAAACTAATCACGAGTTCGTAAGATTCATAAAATGAATTCAAAATTTGAAGCTTTATAGTGACCATCAATGGTGAATTCTTGCTGCTGTAATTTTAGAGATTTGAAATTTTTGTTTGAGAATATGATATTGTAAAAAAAAAATTATTTTTTTATTTCTCTTCTCGTCGTGTTTTTGGATAAAAATAGTGAAATATGGATAAAAATTGATTTGAGAAATAATTATTTAAATGAAAATTTTAAAAGAAGAGGAAGAAGAATAAAAAAAGAAGAGGAGGAAGAGAGAGAATAACACAGAAAGAGGTGAAAAGAAGAAAAATAAAAAGAAGAAGATGAGGAAGAGAAAAAGGACGGAGAAAGAGGCGAAGCGGTACAATTTTTTAATCCGAAAAATTGTTATATTAAGTTAGAAAAATTATATTGCCATAGATGGTAAATATTTTTTTAATATAGCATATTTATGTGATTTGCCCTTTATGTTTTACCATCTTTAGTCTTCCCATTCACAAGTCACAACTATGATGAAGGGCTATGAGGTTAGAGGGGCAAATTGGACCCTTTTTCTATCTATTTAATTGGTGGGCAAGGTAAGGGACAATGGGAAAGGGATTACAAAGTGGACAATGACGATTACAGAATCAAGGTCCGGTCCAAAGTAGTTACAGAGGAAAACGTCAAGAAGATGGAAAATCAACTATAGAATTACATGACAAATGAAGCAAAAATGGACGATTTAGGCCAGAAGCTTTTGCCTAGTGTTATGGAATTTTTCTAAAGTAAACCAGCATTGGCTCAAGTTTCTCACTATGATACGAAGACTGGTGTAATACAGGTCTTCTAAAGGGATGCTATTATACATAATTTTGAGCTGAAGTACCTACCTGATTACATGTATAAATATGAACATCCTGCCGAATGGTTTACAGACACAAACTTTTTCATGTCACGTACTTAGAAGAAATTAAAGAAAACAATGTACCTGTATGAAACAACATGTTGAGTGTGCTTATACTAAATGGTTGTGACTGAATTAGAGTATATCAGATATCGCTAGTCAATTGAAACAGAACAGTAAGTTGAAACGATCCAAAAAGGAGTTAATTTGGTTGTCAATTTCATACTCATCCAACTTTTACAATTATATGACAGGACGTGATTTTGAAGTACAAAAGAACACCCATAAACCAAGCCTTAGAGATGTACATTACTAAATTATCTAAGAACTTTGACAAGAAACAACAAATCCACTTGAACTGATGGGAAAACTAACTTTGAAGTAATAGAACCTCATTAATTACCAATCAAATAAAATAGAACCTCTATCATGCCAATTCTCATTCTTCCAATCACATTTGTAGGCTTTTAATTGACTATACCAAGGGTAGCTTCCATGAGAAGTAGACTGAATCGAATTCTTCATATGCATCAAACGATCAATGAATGACTTTTGAGTGCTCCAATTGTCTTGACTCTATTGCAATTTTAAGTTGAGGAGTTTGATTTCCCATGTACTCAAATGACACCAAATTAGGCGCATCAATCTCCCATATGCCCACACAAACCCAAATCTTCAAGACCTTTACGGAAACTGACTTGATCTCTTGAAGATTCACCAGCTCATATGTTTCCAAGCCTGAACAATACTCAAAGATGAAAGAGACAATCGACGGTAAACTATTAAGTATAGTCTAAAGCATGTTTTCGTTTAATTTTACATAAGATAGAGAAAACTTTCTCAAAGAATTGTTATTCACAGCACCACCGGCTAACGAAAGAGGCAAAAGAATACAACTCTTCAAAATTAGTTTTCTTTTTTGTTAGCTTTATCTTTGTGCAATTTTACAGTTGATTTCGCTCCTGTTTTTGATTAATTTTAGCAATTACATTCTTCTGGCTGTTTTTCTGCCCACTTCGCCAGAGATGTCAACAAAATGTGAGAAGGCGAGATGGAAATACTGCTTAATGGAAATCTTCAAATATACTGCTTGATGGAAATCTACGGGATAAAGTTTCTGATTTTGGGCTATCGAAAATTGGTCCAGAAACACGTGTTAGTACTGTAGTGAAAGGAAGTTTTGGTATTGTAATGTTTGAAGTCCTCTGTGGAAAGCCCGTTATCGATCCCTCTCTTCCTAAAGAATCGGTAAATTTGGTTGAATGTGTGAGGAAATGTTTAAGGAACGGAGAATCAGAAAAGATCGTTGATCCTAGGATTGCACAAGATATAACACTAGAATCCTGGATGAAGTTTGTAGAGACTGCTCAGAAATGCTTGGTGGAGTATAGTGCAGACCGATCGACTATGGGAGAAGTTTTGTGGAACTTGGAATATGCATCAAACTTCAAGGAAAGGCGAAAAAACAGCGCAAGAGAAC